TAATACGAAAAGCTGGGTTATATGAAGAAAAATGTGGCATCAGGATTGGAGGAAGACTCATTAGGATATAACTTTGCTTGTTGAAAGAGGACTTAATACATTTACTGATGAAGAGCAAAGAGCACAGCCTTCGGTATGGATTACATCTCATTGTAAAGAAAACAAAAATCCTCACCACTGGACCAATAAACAACATTCTTATCAACGGAGAAAAGATTGAAGTTGTCAGGGACTTCATTCTTCTTGGATCAACTATCAACACTCATGGAAGCAGCAGTCAAGAGATCAAATGACGTATTGTATTAAGCAAATCTGCTGCACAAGACCTTTTGGGAGTGTTGAAGAGCAAAGATATCATCTTGAGGACTAAGGTGCACCTGACCCAAACCATGGTATTTTCAATAACCTCATATGCATGCGAAAGCTGGACAGTGAATAAGGAAGACTGTACAAGAATTTATGCTTTTGAGTTATGGTGTTGGAGGAGCATATTGAAAGTGCTATGGGCTGCCAAAAGAACCAATAGATCCATTTTGGAAGACGTGCAGCCAGAGTGCTCCTTAAAAGGCCAAGATGGCCAAACTTCGTCTCTCATACTTTGGACATATGGTCAGGAAGGATCAGTCACTGGAGAAGTATATCATGTTTGGTAAGGTGGAGGGTCAGAGAAAAAGAGGAAGACCCCCAACGAGACGGATTTTCCAAGTGGCAGCATCGATGGACTCAAGCATGGCAACAGTAGTGAGATTGGCCCAGGATCCAGTAGTGTTTCATTCTGCTGTGTATAAGATGGCTATGGGTCGGTAGCGACTCAATGGCACCTAACAACAAACATTCAGAAGTAGTTTCTGCCTTTCCTCCCTAGTTTATCTTACTCTGGAAGCCCAGCTGAAACCTTTCCAACATACGTGTACCCTGTTGGTATTTAAAATACTGGTGGCATAGCTTTCAGCATCATAGCTACACACAAGCAATCACAGTGCAACAAACTGACAGATGAATGGTGTCACTGAGAGCACATTGTTGTTGTTGTTGTTAGGTGCCATGGAATCAATACTGACTCATAGCGACCCTATGCATAACAAAATGAAACACTCCCCGGTCCTGGGCCAACCTCACAATCTTTGTTTGATCCCATTGATGTTGCCAATCCATCTCTCTGGGGATCTTCCTCTTTTTCTCCAACCTTCCACCTTACCAAACATGATATCCTTCTCCAGTGACTAGTCCCTCCTGACAATATGTCTGAAGTATGAGAGATGAAGTCTGGCCATCCTGACTTCCAAAGAGCACTCTGGCTATACTTCTTCCAACACAGATCTAATTGTTCTTTTGGCAGTCCATGACACTTTCAACATTCTCCTCCCACACCATAACTTAAATGCATGAATTCTTCTACAGTCTGCCTTAGTCACTGTCCAACTTTCGCATGCACATGAGGTTATTGAAAATACTATGGTGTGGTTGAGGTGCCCCTTATTCCTCAAACTTATATCAAACTGACATTGAGAGCATGACTGTAGTCAATTTGTTGTTGTTAAGTGCCCTTGAGTTGGTTTCAAATCATGGTGGCCCTGTTTAGAGTTTCCAAGGAGCAGTTGGTAGATGGGTTTGAATCACTGACCTTGTGATTAGCAATCCAGTGCTTATGCTACAGTGCCACACCAGACTCCACCTTGAATGCTTATCTTTTTATATTTCCTGATATTAGGGAAGTGTTCTTCCAATAGCTCTATAACTATCTTTTCTGTGATTGTCTTTGTCTCTTCCTGTTCTGGAATTCCGATTATCCATAAGTTCTTCTTCTTCTTCTTCATGTTGTCCCACATGAATCTGAGTCTTTCTTCAGATTTTTAAGTTCTTTTTTTCTGATTGTTCTTCTATCTTACTAGTATTGAGAGATTTATTTTAAAGCTCATTAATTCATGATTCCATTGATTCAGATCTACTCCTTTGACCTTTCAATGTATTGTCCATTCATGAAATCTTTGTATTCTCAATTTCTATTTATAGGTTTTGTATTGTCTCCAGTCCTTTATCTCTTTTGTTTTTTTGCTCCTGTAGTATTTCCCTGAATTCTTCCTTGTTTTTCTTGGCCTTTCTTTCAACCATTTGGAGGTACCTAAGTATCATTCTCTTGACTTCTTTATCAGGTAGGGTTCCAATGTCTTTTTCCCTCAAAACATTTTCTACCTCTTCTTCTTAGTCACTTTTTTGAACACTCTGTCTTGTTTCTTCATGTGAACATAAATGGTCTGTTGCATTTGAGACATTGTGGTGTTAATGTGTTTCTATTACAGTGATGATTATATGCTGGTGTGTTATTAGGCACTCATCAACTGCCTCCTGGTGGATGTGATTAGGGGATGGAATTGTGCATCATTCTCTGTTCACTGTTTGTGCAGCTCAATCTAGGAAGGATTTGGCTGATGTTGATTGTTGTCATTGACCACGTGTATAGTAGCTTCTATTAGCTCTTTCCTGGTGAGTAGTACAATATAGGGAATGATTGTGGCTGGACAGTCTTGGCATGGGTGTTGTCCTCTGTTAGGTAGACAAGAAGAGAAAACACACCCATAAGAGAGAAGGAAAACAAACAAACAAACAAGTAAATAAAAGCTGGGGGGTGGAGGGAGCAGGCAACACCTGGAAAAAAAATATGAAAACCAAAAAGGGAAAGAGAGAGAGGGAAAAAAAAGTTAAACCATGGAAGAAAAAAATTAAGAGAGAAAATAAAAGGAAAGGAAAAGAACTAAACACAGCTAGGGAAAGTGATGAGTAAAAGGGAAACAGATCAGAGAGTAATAAAGAAAAACCAAGGGTTGGGGGGAATCAAGAAAGAAGCATCAGCTGTTGGGAAACAAAGGCAGGAAAAAAGAATAATAAAGTATATATTTGTTGTTGTTAGGTGCCATTGAGTTAGTACCAATTTATAGCGATCTTACGAACAGCAGAAGGAAACACTGCCCAATTCTGGGCATATATGGACAGGATAAAATGCAAGGATAGGTAGAGGGAGGAAGAAGAGGAGGACAGAATAAGAAAAACAAAACAGTAAAAGGAAAAGACCGGGACAGATGCCTGACCCAGAGAGCAGAAAATCCTGGGGTCTTCTGCTAGCCAAGGACTTGCAGGGTGGATTGGCAAGTGATAAGACAGTGGTGTTTTGGCCCTAGGTGAAGTTCCTATGAGGCTGTTTTATCTGTTCTGGGCACCCAATCTGGAAGTAGTTCATGCACTCCCAGAGGGCAGTCAAGGACAAGAGGTACTGCTAGTCCTGGACTGGCCAGAACCAGTTCAAGTTTTTTTTTTTTTTTTACTTTTTTTTATTAATTAAGGTTTACAGAGCAGATGATCAGATTTATATTCAGAAAATCATATACTTCATTTCATCTCAATGATTGAAATCCCCTCAGTGTACCATCACTTATCCCACTTCCTTCCTGTGTTTCTTGTTTCCATTCCTACGTTCCCACCCTTCTGAATGATGTCTTTAGGTAAATGGTGTCCTTTTGATCTCGAATAGTTGACCATTTTATGGTATGTATATCTCACTAGTGTTATGCCCGCTATGTACCTATCCACTTCTTGCCTGAAAACTGAGCCATGGGAGTGAGTTTATTTCCAGAGCTGAAGTATGACCAAGGGACATAGTCTCAGGGTTCCACCAGGCTCCATCTGACCAGTATACCTGGTCTTCTTTATGATTTTGAGGTTTGGTCCACATTTTCAACAATTCTATGCAGGACCTTCTAATGTGATCCCTTTCATAGCAGTTGATAGTGGTTGCAGGGCACCATGTAGTTCTGGCCTCAGGATCATAGAAATTGATGTTCTCAAGGGGAAGTTTTATTAGAACATGTAATCCAAATCCAAGTCTGTAGCAGTTGAAGGATGTCATACTAAGTGTCACACATCAGTCTGAAGATCCAATCTCTGAAAGTTATTTTATCATAGCAAAAAAAACACCCGTTTCTTTGATTATTCCAGCTCTTTTAGCCTATATTGGTACTGATGTGGGGATGGATGGTAGCAGGGATCCATGCTAACAGTAATTTTAGAAGATACGTGAAAGAGCAAGACCAGAGGAAAATCATAGATTAGGTTGCAAGAACAGATATTTCCTAATCCTTGGTTAACCGGTGTTAACAGAACAAATGCCAATCAGTCATTAACAGGTTGACTGATTGGATAAGTCTCGTGCAATGTTGCAATAACACTGGAATAGGTATGGGAGCCACGACGGAACAAAAGTTTATCTTCCATTATATCTTCTAGTTGTGTTTCCTCTTTTATTTAATGAATGATTATATTTATTACAAATCTTTAATTATTTCCTTGGGAGAGACTATACTGAGTAGGTGACTACACTTGTTCCCAAGGAAGATACTATATAATTTAGATGATTTATGCAATTGGAAGGGAAATTTCACCTGAGAACAAAGTGTTGAACGTAACGACCCTGTGGTTTCCAGGGTCCTCAGATGCTCAAGCTGAGTTAAGAATATCAATACCGACAGCTCCTAGAGGTCGCACCTTGAAAACACCGTGTCAGGTAGAGGCCCGTGTTCCACATGTAAGGAACCTCAAGTCCCAGAATCCCATTGGAACTCCAAATCCCAGAATCCTGCACACAAAGCTATCCTGAATTTCCAGCGACCGATTTTGGGTGCGACCAAGTTGGGAAACGGGAAGGAGAGAACGCATATTTTGTTATCTACCATTTCTTTTTACAGAAAGGGCTCTTTACAGAGTTATAGTTACCCGATCTTTCGTATTTCTTTAATTACATCTCCCAGGAAAAGCACTCTCTTGGAATATCTGGTGGGACGATAAGCGCTTCACTTTCCCTCTCCCCCCTTTATCTGGCCTGCGTAAGAATGATTCGGCCTAGAATCGAGGCTCTCTGAGTTGGATCGATGGTTGCTCCCGCCCTACCCCGGAATGTGGGCCTTTGGAGGGAGCGAGGTGGGAGGGGCGGAGGCGGGGAAGTTCGCTCCGCCGCTGCTGCCATAGAGGCTGCGGCGGCTGCCGGGGGTGGGAGGAGCCGCTCGGTTCCGGCTGCCGAGGCGAGGAGACGTTTGGGTCGGCGCTGCGGGCGGGGAGACCTGGTAGCTAGGCGAGCGGTGCTGCTCTCGGAGATACCCGGGCGGCAGAGAACCTTGTGGCGGCTGGTGGGCCCGCCTCGCCCGCTCGGCCCCCGGCGTTGAGGCTTACAGGGAAATGCCGACCCAGAGGGACAGCAGCACTATGTCCCATCCGGTCTCAGGCGGCGGCGGCGGTAGCGGGGATCATTCTCACCAGGTCCGGGTGAAAGCCTACTATCGCGGGTGAGTGGCGCGGTGTGAGGGCGGGAGAGGAGAGGAAAGGCCAGCTTGACTTGGCCTGGAGGAAGGAGGGTGAGGGTTGAAGGTGTTGTGGGCGGGTAGGGTTGAACGGACGGCTCTGGGAACTCCGGGTGAGTGGCGGAGTGATAGGCGCCGGGGGACGTGGGCGCCGGATTGGAGGCACCCCCAGGTGTGGTGTTGGGCGCCTGGGGTCGGGGGCAGAGTGGGATCTGTGGGAGGATACTTGGGAATAGAGTATGTGCACCTGGTGGTTGCGAGAGACACCCACTGAGATTCATCAGACTATATGTCAAGTCTACATGTGTTTTGGTTGAGAGTTGAGGATTCCGAGTGGTGCCTCAGTTTAACTATTTGCTACGGTTTTAAAATAGAGCAGTGCATCGGTGTAGCTCTCGCTTTCGATTAGCAGCAGGCCTGTAGTGCCTGGTTCTGTAGCCAGATTTACCTTCATGAAGTGTATGAGCTATGGTCATGCTGCCAACATATCAGACATAGGACTTACTATTATGGTTATATTTTACATAGGACTTACTTTTAAAGAGCGAAGTCGAGGCATTTTCAGGGATGTGAATAGGTACTAAGGTTTTGCCAAGATTAGGTTGCTTATGTGTTAGTTAAAATTTAGTGAACCCATCCATCCTTGCCATTGTAAATTCAAGGACCGTTCTGTAGGATGAGCTGTAGTCCTGGTGTGGCGCTGTAGGATAAGTACTGGACTGCTAAGTACAAGTCAGCTGTTCAAACCCACTAGCCGCACCTCGGAAATCTACACAGGATCTCTATGAGTCGGAACCGACTCCACAGCACATAGCAACAAACATAGGGTGAGCTATTTCAAGGTGAGAAGAGGACGGTCCTAGGCACAAGTCTTCTGTCTGTGATCTTTCCTCATACTATTACCCAAATTAGCAGCCCTGGTAGCTAGTGGATTGTGATTTGGGCTGTTAATCATAGGTCAGCAGTTTAAATCTACCAGCGGTTCCGCGGGAGAAAGATGGGGCTTTCTGCTCCGGTAAAGATTTACCAAGCCTCGGAAAGCCTATGCAGGGTCGCTATGAGTCAGAACCTACTCCATGACACGCTGCCACCACGACCATTACACAAATTATAACGCCTGTGGTTACCAGAAATAACACCCCCCCCCCCCCCCCCCGAAGATCACTGTCTTAAATCATATTCTATCATCAGTGATCCAAAGCAGCCCCTGTTCCTTGGAATTCAGTTGTGGTTTTTGAATGCCTTTGTGATAACGTTATTTTGGAGTATTAAAAGTTACAATGTTAGTGTGAGCATAAAGAATTGAGACTGAGGGTTAACAGAAAACACAGCTGCTTGTCCAGGCAGAAGTAAATTGCTTAAAAAATGCAAGTGCCAAACAAAAACAAAAAACCACCAAAATAGAACCTCAAGTACTACAAGGTTGAAACTGCTGCAGTGCATACTTTTACATTCCTGAGAGGATCAGTGAAGATAAAAAAATCAAGTTGCCTCTCTTGTTTTAATTTCAAAGGGAAAATAAGCCCCTAAGTGTTTTATTGATTTAATGTAAGGATTCAGTAGTTTGTTTCCTGCCATGAAGCTTCTGGCTTCTATTTATTAGCTTGACTATATTTTTTAAAGACTAGATTAAATACACATTGTACAGAAGTATAAAATTACACTTATCCAGTGTTCAGAGGTCGATTTCTGGTTCTTTTTGAGGTTGCCTTTATTATTTAAGTTATAGTCTATTTCTTGATTTATCAGCTTTACAAAGTAGTTGTGAATTCCTTCCCGGGAAAGATAAGAAATTGGATGCATGCTGCTTTCTGCCTCTTTCCCTTAGTGCCTCTTACTTTTTAGGTGTTAAATGATTATATTAGTTCTTCTAGTTACCTTTATGACTTTAATTTAAATTCTTGATTTTTTAGTCTTACGTAGTCTCCCATAACTCCAACTATGAAAAATGAAATTAGTGCGCTTTTTTTCTATTAGTTTAACAAACGAATAGGCCTAGTTAGTAAATCAGAGTGATGATATACTTGTCTTTTGGAAAGAAATCAAAGTCTGCTGTACTCTAGGAACATAGGTTTCTTTTGTTTTCTAGCATATTACTCAGATTATTAAAAGAAGAGAATGAGGACATAGAACCTTTTTTAGTGCTTTGTTTTAACCTTTGGAGTGGAAAGGAGGAGATGCAGACCTACTGGATCAGTAGAACCACATGGTTGCAGACAGTAGCAGCAGCAGTCATCATTCTCCAAGATATTCAAGTGAACATTTTCTTTATTATTTTAAAAACATAGGAAGTTTTGCTAAGCAAAGACAAGAAGTAACCCCTTGCCTTTTAGTCCATTTTATCCAATAAGAGCTTTCTAAAATAGTACTTTCATTTCAAGCTGCTTTTTAAAACAGCATCAGCAGTCTCTAAATTGTATCAATTTAGGTCCTATGAAATTAAATGTTAAGATTATATGTTTATTAGCAATAGTCTAAACTGATGGTTGTGGTATTACATAGTCAGCTGCTCATTACTACAGATGAAACAAAAGTGAGTCACCAACAAAGACAGATAATAAACAGGTTGGCTAACTAAAACACCTTCCACATGATTTTAAAATAGAAAATCCTGCTTTCATACCAAGAATTGTAAGGGCAATCTGCATTTGAGAAACTTTCCCTCATATTTTCTGAATGGTCTTCCTCTGATCCCTCTTGGAGCAAAGTTTCTTTCTAGTTGTGGTTGAATCTTAGTATAGGCAGAATTATTATTTAATGAGTAAATTGCCCTCTTCTTTCAAAACAGTGTGTACTGTTTTCATTCTACTAAGTTTGATTTTAGTGAAATAGGATGTATTCCTAGATATAACAAACATATAACTTGATTTTTTTTCTAGTTTTAAGCAGGAGATTTATAGCCATGAGAATCTGATTTTATTGGAAGCCACCTAAGAGTACCTGTCTTATGTTATGTACTGCTCTTTCCCATACGTGGGGATCTGTGTAGAGAGTTGCCTTTTTCAATTATTACCTGGTGGTATTAGTTTGGGGGGAGAGAAACAGGTTGTGTTGATTAGTGATAGACTGTCATTGTATATGTACTACAGGTAGAAATTATGGGATACATATTAACAAAGAGATGTCTGGACTATTAATTTCTTTACATTATAAATGTAAGGGAAATTTTGTGAAAAGGCTTGGAAAATTTCTTTCTCAACCACTGGTGCTGATCAGTTACAACAAGCCAGAAGATTCCTTCTATGAGCATTTAGAAATAAGAAGATATTGTTAACTCCATGTGTGTTTGGAATGTAGCTGGCTCTGTGAAGAAGTATGCAAGATTTTTCTCACCATGAACAAGTCTTGGCAAGACTTGTTTATAAAAGTATTGCAAAATTATTTGATATACTTTAGTGATGGTTCTAAGGAAATAAGAGTATCTCAAGTTGAAGGTTGGGGAAAGTCAGCCGACTGGTCTTGGAGCTCCTGGCATGGCACCTAACCCTGGGATAACTGATCCACGGTTTAAGGAACCACAGTGATCTGGTGCCAAAAAGCAATTTAAAAAAGCCTCTCAGAAATTTGAATTAGAAAATATGATGATAAATAATGACGATAAATTGCTTGTTAGCATTGGGGACTGAAGCTGCAGAGTTGAGTGTCTGGAGAGGCCAAGGTGAACTATGTGCAAACTGAAGGTCTGAGCAAGCAGCAACAGGAAGCAGAGGCTAAAGAAGTACCTCTTTAGGAAACTTTTCTCTAAATGGGGGTGGGGGTGATGGTGTGGTGTGGAGTCAGTTCCGACTCATAGTGAGCCTGTACAGGGTTTCTGAGGCTGTCATAGTGAGCCTGTACAGGGTTTCTGAGGCTGTAAATCTTTACGGGAGGAGAAAGCCTCCTCTTTCTCCCACAGGAGGACTGGTAGTTTTGAACTGCTGACATTGAGGTTAGCAGCCCAACTTGTAACCACTATGCTACCAGAGCAGAGCTCCTTTTAGTTCATGATAGATTTGTAATATAATTCCCCACCTCCTACTGCCAGGTAAAATTGGAGTGTCTGACTTTTGTTATTGTTTTTTAAAAAATATAGTTGAAATAAGCTGAATTTAAAAAAATTCTTGTCTTAAGAATGGACAAAACTCCAGTTCTTGTCCTATCTTGCTAAGGATTTTACTTACATCTTACCAAAGTGTCTTTACATTTAGTTTAACAAATATTGTTGAAAACTTACTATAATACAGGCACAAGTGCTAAGTACTAGGTAACCAAAAGGATGTGTTGTTGTAGTTTAGTGCCTTGAAGTCAGTACTGACTCATAGTGACCCTGCATAGGGTTTCAGAGGCTGTCAATCTTTGCTAGAGCAGAAAGTCATCTTTCTCCTGTGGAGTGGCTGGTGTGTTCGAACTGCTGGCCTTCTGGTTCGCAGTACAATGTGTATGGTACAGAACCACTACACTTCCCAAATAGAGGATATTGTTAAGTGCTGTTGCAACTCATAGTGACCCTGTGTAGGGTTTCTCAGGAGCAGCTGGTAAGTTTGAACCCCAGACTTTGTGGTTAGCAGTACAGTGCGGATCCTACAGCACCACACCAGGACTCCAATACAAAATGTGTTGTTGTTAAGTGCCATCAAATCGGTTCTCACTCATAGTGACTCTATATAGGGTTTCCAGGAAGTGGCTGTTGGGTTTGAAATGTCGACCTTGTGGTTCAAACTGACTTTGTGGTTCAGTGCTTTCCACAGCGCCACACCAGGACCCCAACAGAGAATGTTGCTGCTGCTGTTGTTACGTGCCATGCAGTCAGTTCTGACTCATAGTGACTCTGTATGGGGTTTCCAAGGAGTGGCTGGTGAGTTTGAACCGTCAACCTTGTGGTTCAAACCAACCTTGTGGTTCAGTGCTTTATCCCACCATGCCACACCAAGACTTCAATAGACGGTGTTGTTGTTTTTAAGTGCTGTTGAGTCAGTTCCGACTCCTAGTGATCCTGTATAGGGTTT